TGTAAAACCCAAATCCAAAACCTGAAAGCCCATCTACGTGCATGAGAACCACTGTCAGTCTTGTTAAAATGGAGCAAGATCATACTTTGATAAAACAGTATGACCTTGATTGAATATTTTTAGATATGCTTTTCAAAAATATAACTTTTGGTATAAACTTTTAAAATATTTTTTCAAAATTGTAAAATATACAAAAATATTTCATATGTAAAAAATATAATTACATTAACAAATATAAAAATATTTGAATAGTTTAAAAACTATAAAATCATTTTAAAATACGCATGGTGTGTTTACTTTAAAACGTTTTTATCTCCTGCTCTGTTAATTGAACTTTAATCACACACTTGAGGCTCCTGCAAGGACTAGCAGACTATTCGCAAAGCAGGAGATAAGAAATTCTTAATTAAACAGACGGTGCAGGAAGATTATACACTAGATCTCTCTTTATAGGAAATGTGAGGGAGACTGTGTAGGTCACTTGCAGGAAAGGTGTCGAAATAAAGTGATTTATCTACTATATCTCAGAGAATGCAGGCGCAAGATCTATACCGCAAAACCACTTCATTAAGTTAAAGTTGTTTTGGTGCCTATAGCGTCCCTTTAAAACGTGGACTGTTGGTGACAACTGGGTTATGACTGGGAGCCAATTGATATTATCTGGACTGGAGCTCTCAATATGATGAATTTTCCTAGAATAACCTAAAATATTACCAAATGATATTAGTTTAATACATGAACTGTTTCTGTGTTTCCTAATCTATTGAGCATTTTTATGTTATGTATGTGAATTTCCTTGGCATCGTAGAACTGGTGAAAATAAATACAGTTACATTTAAAGAAGACATATGTGTGTATACAGACTAGGAAATGGAATTTTTTTTAAATCAAATCACATATTTGTGATTTAATCAAATATTAATTTTGTTATTCAAAACAGAAACAAGAAAACACCTTAAAAAAAAATTCTATTAGATTTACAAATTCCATGACACACCTTCCAGTCTTCCCTTCCTGTCTGTCATGTTACCTTTTGTTGACAAGGCTGTAAGACAGCCTGGTGATGTCTATATAGTTGAGAGGGACCCTTCCCGCAGCCCCTCTCCTCAAATGGTACATTAACATTAACACAGAAAAAAAATGGAGATACATAGGCAATATGGTTTCATTAAAGGGTTAATACAGCTTGTCTGGGATTTTCTGCAGGCTTCAATAAATATACTTTAAATATAATATAAATATAAATATACCTCAACCATTTCTCCTGTCATCTGCTTGTAAGACACAAACAACTCTGACATCTAACAGACAATGACAGGTTCGGTAGCCACATTTCCTATTCCATTAGAAGATGCAGTGTATTGCAAAACCTATTGATATGTGTGAAAGATATTTTGTACTTTTTTTTCTATTTTTTTTTAATACCGTACGCTCAAAATATAAATGAATTCAGATCCCTTGGACATATCGGTTAAGCAGTTAATCTCACATTGGGAAAGCTTATGCCCAAGGTTAATAGGCAGTGAATTATCTCCGAGGATGATAGGATGAGATTTTGCAAATGTGACAGCTACAGAAGGCTTTACTAAATTACATTTTGCTGAACAGAAAACATGTCATTTACAGAAATGCATATGGTTTATTGGTTGAAATCTAGACAGTTCACAATTTAATATGCATGTTGCCACCTGCCCCCTACAATTACAATCAGTGTTTGTTGAGGATTGCCCCACTTTTACAATTTTGACACGGAACGTCTGTGCAAACATGTATCTGATATAATTTGAGGTTCTTGCTGGTATGTTGATAGCCCATAAATACATGATCCATATTTTAGGGGATGTGCATTTTGGGGGTAAGTGATTCTTTTAGGTCTTCAGATTGAATTAACCTTCTTCATTTATTGAAATTAGATAATGGTATGTTTATATGCTATCTGCAATCACACAACATATTGTAAGCACTAACCTCCAATCAAGACATTATTGATGATAAGATAATGTGAATTTAGGACAAAATCTTGTAGAAAGGGTAGGGGTGTGGAATGCCTGTCTGCTAAGTGTGCAAGGACAGGCTGATCCACTGGGAAAAAATTGGTGCTGGTTGATGCAGGTAAAATCTTTTTTTCTTCACTTTTAAAGGAATTGTTAGTGACAATGATGATGTCGGAGCCAGACGTAGCCAGATCCTCCACGCAATGCACAGAGCTTAAGGCCAACATCATGATGTCATACCTGGTGGCTGAGACTTAGTGCAAGACAAGAAAAAAGAGGAAAGGCTGTATCACTAGCTCAGTGACGGCCTAGTGTGTTCATAGGATAGAAATTAAATGAAGTGTATCTGAGGCAGTGTACCTTTGTTTCTTCCATAAAAGGACAAGGTTTAATAAAATTTTTTATAGTTTTACTTAATGTATGTTATTTTATGACTATTATCCACATATACAGATATACACCTGTATATTAATATATGTGTATTATACAGTATTAATATATGTGTGTGTGTGTATGTATCTATGTGGCAAGCATTATTTTTTATATATAAATTATTTATAAATATACACAAATATACATAAATGCCATATAGAGTACTCCTGGAACTTCTTGTAAATATTAAAACTTAACTCTATATGTGTAAAACGAGGTTCTTCGCACTCCTTACACTAAATCCTGAATTGTAGCAAATTAGATTCAGAATAGCATAAATTAGTTCAAAATATCGGACATGGAAAATTTCTACAAATTCAGTTATAGTTCTATAACTTGTGAACTACTACATTCCTCAATATACAATGTTTAACCAATAATAAATAAAAAAAAATTTAAAAATACCTTTTTCATACATATAGAGACAGGGCATATGCAAAATGTATGACCAAATGGTGAAGTTAAAGATTGTAATGCGCTCTATTCTACCAGCAGAATAAAATTCTACTCTCTGGCTTGTTGGGATCTGTCTATGTAACCCTATGTCTCCAACCCGTGACCTAATGAAACACCCACTTCATAGAGATCTGACTTAACCCCCAAATGCTTTTGTCCAATGACAGCAATAGAAGACACGACATAATGCAGTCTTTTACCGCCCAGGGCCAAAGGGTGACCTGGGAAATCCTGTTAGGGCAGAGTAATAGGTCTGGAAGGTCTATACACAGAGAATGAGATATTTATTAAAACATATTAAAAGAAAAATGTTGGGGTAAAGACTTACCTGCCCCGTGGACCAGCCTACACCTGCTAGGAACTCAATGTTGCGACTAATGAAATTTTGCCATTAAATGTTATGATGATTGGATTAGTTATTTTTCATTTCAACAAAACCTTGGGGGAGCCGCCTCACCTGCCTCTATGGGCCAGCCTTCATTGTATATGACTTCAAAATATTATTTCATATCAAGCCAAAATTAAGAAACCAGTTATGCCATTCAATGTTACACCTGTCTCTATCCATCTCTTCAAGGAGAAAAGATGGAGGCTAGATTGAAAAATTAATATACAACCAAGCAATATTGCTTACCAGACAACAATATCTTTCTGAAGGCAATTCTTTAACTGTCACAAACATCATGGAGATATAGTTACATGTTCCCTCAGAGGAATACATATATTGTTTAATTCTTCGAAACAAAACTATTATCTCAAGCTCCTGTAGGTCAATCTAGAAGTTACATGACATGGAGGTTATTGACTGATTTAAAAGTTATTGGAGAACATGGAGGTTGATATCTCACGATGAGGTTAATGACTGGTGTGGGTGTTTTTAAAAAACATGCATGTTGCTGGCTCACACAGACACTGTTGAAACTAATCGTGAGTCCCAAAAGTAATTTGGTGCTGTTATGTACAATTTTTTATGTTGTGGTATTTAAGTTTTATAAAAGATTGTGTTCTCTTGTATCATTTATATATGAGTCTAATCAAACAGTATACTATTGATTTAAACATGAAGTGTGGAATGGACAACAAAACTTTAAATACTATTTCCTTATTGTATAAAAATAAATTGGGTAAAATATAACAGAACTCGTCTTAGAATTGTGCGTAAACTACAAAATAGTGTTATTCTGTCAGGTAATCATTCTTGGTTGCTTTTTTTCCCCCTGAATGTTTGATATTCCTGTTTTTGGTATAATAAGAAAACATTAGGACTCCAATCGCAGAGTGATGACGTGACGTGACGCACGCATGCACATTATGCTTCGCGGGCTTGCTTCCATGGTCAGCGTTTTACAGGAGGGCGAGGTGTGGCGGAAACCCGGACAGCTAGACTCTGAGTTCCAAATATCCTGGCAGGAAGAACGGGAAATTAATCTACAGGGACATCGAAGCGCTTCCCAAGACAATAAACAATGATATAACACTGAGCGGTGGGGATGAGAAAACACCCAACGGACTCAGGAGACAGAGTGCATGCATAATCCAAAGCCCATGAGGACACCGGAAGCAATTGGAGCAAGGTACACTCAATTAAAAGTTCCTATATACGTCTTCCTATTCCGATATATCAATATGCTAGAGCGAACATTTAACAAGCTGAATTCAATGTGGATATAAATTGCACAGCTGACAAACTGCAAACAGTGAGTCAAGTATTTGATACGGTTCCTCACAATAGGTTAGTCTTCAAACTAAAAGAAATTGGCCTAGATGAATATTCTTGTTCTTGGGTAGAACATTGGCTTAAGGATAGAGTACAACGAGTTGTAATTAATGGTAAATTTTCAGGCTGGACAAAAGTGGTAAGTGGTGTCCCTCAGGGTTCTGTTTTGGGACCACTTCTATTTAACATATTTATAAATGATCTTGAAATAGGCATTGAAAGCCATGTATCAGTGTTTGCAGATGACACAAAACTTTGTAAAGTAATAAAATGTGAGCAGGATATTGCTTTGCTGCAG